AGCTAAGAAGCAAGAGGCATACTTGACAGCAAGGTCTTCTAGTTTCCAAGAGGCATCTGCCTCCTCAGATGATAATTAAGATGTATTACTTGAGCATGTTTATTATTTGAAGCTTCCAATAGTAAAAGAAAGTTGGTAATCTTCCAGAACAAACCACTTACTCCACTCCCCGCCTCTATTATGGCAAAAAGTTCTGTAATAAATGCAATCTACACAAAATAGGTTTAAATTAGGAAAGCAGGTGCTTCAAGTGCATTCAGCCTTTCAACAGTCCATTAATAAGCATCCATCTGCTTCCTGTTACATGTAAAAAAATTAACGTTCACCTTATTCAGTCAACCATATACTGTATACTATTCTTACAGAAGTAGTAAAACCAAAATAACTGACTGATATTTTTGTGAACTCTAGCATTTTTCCACTACAAAATCTAACTTTACTCCCTAATGTCTTGGTTTATTATATCTGACTTTTAAAACAGTCTTCATTAATCAACTGAATTAACATTTCATCTATTATAATCTAGTGCCTTTGCCCATTCATTGGACTTACATAAAAGTGTTACGAGCAACAGCAGTCTAATCAATTTACACATCAGAAAGAACAAGTTTTTAACTATCATGATTAAGTCCCCAATGCCTTTTTAAAGTTAAGATAGTTTTTATTGTTTACTCTCTCTTAATTATTCAATTGTATTTTAATTAGTGTACAGTTTAATTATTATAATGTAACGTTATATTTAAAATACTGTTCTTTTAATATTGTGAGCCAGCTTGGGTCCCCTTATTGCAAGAAAAGCAGCCTATAAAACAAACAAATAAACAAGCACAGATGACTTCAAATAATTCTAAATGCACTCTTCCTGCTTATGTCATGATTATCTGTATCTTAAACAAGCAGAGATGCAAGTGTGAAAAAGCAGTGCACATCCAGCTTTATGTGACCAGTGAAATACTGCCAAATAGGCAACTTTAAAAATATGAATTTACAACAAAGAGAATAGAGAGAGATTAATTGCATGCAAACGTTTCTCCCCAAAAATCTAGAATTCAATTCCTCTCACAAACTTTACAGAGTACAATTAGGCCAGATCAGCTGAAGGTCCCTCCTGTCTCACTCCACAGCCATCAGTCATAGTTCTTCAGTACTTGTGACCCAACGCATATCTATAAAATACCTTATTGTTTCTGACCAAAAACTTTTACAATATACAATAGGACCTCCCAATCCGCACGATCAGTATCCACTGATTCACATATCCACTGCCTGAAAATATTAAATAAAAAACCCACAAATATGTATTTCCATGCTGCATTTATCAGAACTGAAATTACCAGAGACCATGCTGTGTATAGTGTTCGCTACTTCTGCATTTTTCAGCATCTGTTGGGACTGCATTTATCAGAACTGAAATTACCAGAGGCCATGCTGTGTATAGTGTTTGCTACTTCTACATTTTTCAGCATCTGTTGGGGGGGGCGCGCTTGGAACCGATCCCCCATGGATACTGCTGTCCTACTGTATATAAAAAGGGGGGAACAATTTTTCCAATTTAAAAACAGGTAATCGTAATAGCTCATTAGGATGCTTATCATCAGGGTGATCATAACATTCTTGAAAGCAAACATTTGTCAAAAAAGACCTGATTATCCATGAGCAACCTTAATACAGTACTGCTTCCTCAGAAGTGCAGTTGACAAATGACTGGATGGTGGGTGACAAAAATCTTTCTCTAGCGTTGGGGACAGAGCAATAAATAATGGCAAACATTTGTCAAAAAAGACCTGATTATCCATGAGCAACCTTAATACAGTACTGCTTCCTCAGAAGTGCAGTTGACAAATGACTGGATGGTGGGTGACAAAAATCTTTCTCTAGCGTTGGTTTAAAGGGGACAGAGCAATAAATAATGAATTATATATCAAATCTGAATACAGCCATAGATACATATTCTTCCTGAAACTGGAGGTCCCTCAAGATACGCAGAGGGCATCCTGTTAGAACTGAAGTTCTGTAAAAGCTGTGGGAAGGGTAATGCTTCAAAATAGTGTGGCCTTTCATGATTATCATGAAGTTGAGGACACCAAATCAAAAATTGTGGCCCAACAATGGCAGCTATTGCAACTCATGTAGTTTCCAAATTTTGCTTACAAAAGTATTCTGGCCCCTACTCCTTGATGCTTACAAGCACATGCAGAGTTTCTCCACAGAAGTAGTAACATTTCAAAAAATCCACTTCTGCTGTCCAAAGACTGCAGAATCTAGTATTTTATGACTTGGTCCACAGCTCAGTTGCTTTGGGGAGGGAATGGATTCACAGTTGCTGTGGAAACTGCACAGGTCATAAATGCTTAGGAATTATGACTGCTGCATATGATGTGAGGGAGGAGAAATCTTTACGGATAGCAGGGCAGGCAAATGTGTAATGTTTAACATCTGTGAGGAAGCATGGAGCCAGTCTGCACTTATCTGGAATTAGCAGATCCTTAACAGATATCCTACAATAAGATAGGGGAAAAAACACAGAAGACACAGTAAAGTTAAGACAACACTATCTGACTCTCTTGTAAAGTTCAGTGAATGAGGAAAAATGATTTCACAATAAAAGCTAGGAAGTACTCTCATGCAGTTCAGTTTAATAAATCACCTCAAATACAGATGCCAGGCATTAAACAGGAGGGCAATAGCAAGATCTGAAATAAATTTAGGATGGTTTTATATATATGCTTATGGACTCTGAACACAATTTTCACAGCACACATCCACTGCTACACATTGATGTACACATTGATGTACACATTCAGCTGTTGTTTGGTATCAGCTAGATGCCATGGGAAAGCAATTTAAGCAGTAAGGCTCTCCACACAAACTAAGCCACTTTCACCCATCACATCCTCACAGGGAAATTTCTGAATAATCCAAGTACTTTCTCAAAACTCATCTGTGGATGCTAAAGATCTGACTGAGACTTGCTGTCATGCAAGCAGTGTAAGGAAAAAAAATCACTCAAATCAACCATGACCTGAACAATTTCACTGGTGCAGTTCCATGACACTTTGCAAGTGCCTAGAGGATTTTCTGGCATCCCATTATTGAATAGCTTGCAGTTGCTAGAGACCTGGACTCTGCTTTTGAATGAATGCAATCTACCACTTCAGTGCTCAACTCCCATCGCTCCTCATTCATAACTTCAAGTTTGGGGGAAACAAGCTGGATCCAAAAAGTCAAGAATGCGATTTGTCAAAATGAAAGCATTCCAGATACCTTGGAAGAGGCAACTACGTGCCTGTTCCCTAAGAAACAGTTCTTTGACTCACATAGTTTTAATAAAACGTCTATGTTGTCAATACTCCCTTCCTAGACAAAGTACTTGAACAGATGGTGACAATGCAGGTCCATTTATTTAAAATATTTATACTCTTCCTTCCTTTTCAAGAAGACTCAAAGCAGATTACAGTATTAAAAACAAACAGAATTAAAAGCTTTAATTTTTTTTACTATTACAAAAATTAAAGAGATATAATATTAACACTGGTATGTAAAATTTGGCGGAATGCCTGCTCCCACCAAGGTCTACCCGGATCACCCCTTCTCGGCGGTGGCTCCTCGCCTCTGGAACAGCCTCCCTCCGGCGATTTGCGCGGCCCCTACGCTGGGAATCTTTAAAACCCAATTTAAAACATGGTTGTACATTCAGGCCTTCCCTCCCTGATTTCTTTTCTATTCCTTCTTATTTTATTCTCACTCTATTTCATTGTAACTGTATCAAATGATTATGTAATGTTCTTGTGTTTTATTGTTTTATCCTATACTGGAAGCCGCCTAGAGTGGTCGAGCAGACCAGATAGGCGGGGTATAAAACAAACAAACAAACAAACAAATAAATAAATAAGTTCTGAAAGCACATTAAAAACAAAAAAAAACACAACAGCCCCATTTTAAGAACCCCTTCTTAGGTAGCAAGTCATTAAGAGGAAATCGGCCTGAAGAGAAAGGTCTTTGCCTGTCTGCAGCAGGAAACCGAAGATGGAACCAGCTTAGCTTCCCATGGGAGGGAGTTACATAATTTGGGACCAGGGACAGAGAAGGTCCTCTCTCTCCTGTCCTCACCAAATGCACCTCTGATGAGACAGACGCCGCCGATGTTTATCTAGATTAACTTCAGAAAAACATTAGGGTTACATTGGGGGGATAAATAATCTTATTTCATCACCCGCAACAATGGTACATCTGCTCTCCTACATCTACAATCTTTAGAATTTGTGAATTAACAATAGTAAGCTAGAGAATCTGCCCAAACCTCATCCTTACTTGCTTGTTCACCTCCATCAAAGATCAGGGATGGAACGCTTGTCAAGGCAAGTGAGGACAGTCCCCTAGATTCCCATGTAAACAAACTGCATTAGATTAGGCATCCTTCAGTCTTGAAAGACTATGGTAATGTGCTCTGTATGGAAGATAGGCTGTTACCCAAGCAGCAAATCCCCCCTCTCCATGTCGCTGAAATAGTCCAGTGGAAAGGCAAGGGCCAATACAACTGGTTCCAGCGACGATGCAGGAGTTGCCAGAACGACACGAACTGCCTCTGGGACTCTGGCTCCAGATTTTGCCTCAAGGTTAACTCCTGAAGCCTTTTCCATCCGTGGATATAGCCACAAGGCAGTGGAGGTTTGAAATCAGAGGTTTCCTTCTCCTAGATGGGCTGCCTTCCAGGACTGATGAGCCCCACCTACCTGGCCTGCTCTCTAATAGTGCAGAAGTAGGATCTGACCTGTAAAAGTTTTCTCCCCCCAGGTGTATGCAATGCTAATTGGCTTTCCTATTTACCAAATTAGGGTCAAAAATATAATTAGAATTCAGCTCACCCTCCTTTAAAGCTGAAACCCCGCCCTCCCTCAGACCATGCAGTCAGGGAAAACAAAGGTTTGCCTAGAGAAAATACCCCAGCAAAATGTCTACCCAAACATACCTGCCCTAGCTTCTTCTTCATGAAAACTTGATTACTTTAACACTTTATTCCATCTCAATGACAAACTGTCCTTCCTTCTTGACATCTGCGTTTGTGTCTAGCATTAACATCTATATTGTGAGTATAGGAATATGGGGTTGGGTGGGTTCCCCTTCCTCATCTTGATACCAATCACCAAATGATTAATATTGACACACCCTCCTTCTGCCAAAAATAGGATGGCCCAGGTCAACAGCACCTCAACACTTGAGACATATAAGGTGAGGCTTGGTGATGTCACAAGGCAAAGCCTGGTGATATCATAGAATTGCCTACCCTTGTGAATGTAAAATATGACACAAAGGCCCAATAGCAAAGAGATGAAGCTAGAGTGACAAAGATCCAGAAGTATGGAAGAAACATCAAGAAATCAACAGGTGAGATTTAGAACAGGTGAGATTTAGAAATCAATAGGTGAAACCCCACCCTCCCTCAGACCATGTGGTCAGGGAAAACAAAGGTCCACCTAGAAGAAAATACCCCAGCAAAATGTCTACCCAAACATACCTGCCCTAGCTTCTTCTTCAAAAAAGGGGCTTGTGGATCCTGCTCACCCTCCTTTAAATCTGAAACCCCACCCTCCCTCAGACCATGCGGTCAGGGAAAACAAAATTCCACCTAGAAAAAAAAAATACCCCAGCAAAATGTCTACCCAAACATTTTGCTGGGGTAAACAAACGTCATAAACTTTAACAAAACACCCTGCACTCTGCATTTATTTATACATCTGATCGTCTCATTGATAGCTTTGCCTTAGGCCACCTTCCCTATAGTTATATTCCTGTCCAAATTCATAGTGAACAAATGTAACATTTGGGAAGAACACTTTCCAACCTTCATTTGTCTGTTAAAAGTGGTGTTACAGAAACTGAATAAACCAACAGGACAAAGGACCTCAAATTCCAGACTCTCCCATATTTTACTCAGTTTGTCTTCTTTTACTTTTTCTTTCTAAGCCATGAGGCTCTAGAGCCACAAAGAGACCTTCTTTGCCTCTCATTTTCCATGGCTAGTTAAGACCACTGCTGGAATTCCTGGCTCGGTCTCTTCCTTTCACTCTGTTCAACAAATACTGCCCTGTCCAAAACTCACAATTACCCCACACCCACTCGAGTCCGGAGCTTCTTCTTGCATTGCTAATGCATTGTCTTTCCTTGTTCTTGTCCCACAACATGACACCCTCAGTTCATGCACTTCTGTTTCAGAACAGGAATACAGCCATCCCATTTATTAGTGTATGACTCTCATCAGCCATCTGATAAGCCAGCCCTATTTGCTCTGCTTTTAATTCATTATGTCCGCTGTAATCCAAAATGCACATCTGCTTAAGCAGTGAGCAGCAGAAACCATGCATACTTGAAAAATGTATCTTTGCAAGCAAGTTCAAGTTGTTAAGAGGACTTTGGCCCTACAACTCTGTGCAGTACATAAGCTTACAAAAGAAAAACATTTAGGAGTATCTTCTCTAATCTGTTGCTGCAGTTCAACCCAACTATTATGACTGCTACTCAAGGGACTTTCACAACATGTATTTATACATTTGATGGTTAACACCAATCAATGGAACTCCAAGAAGACAGCTCAATGGTCACGGGTGTTTACTAATTAAAATATAATTTTTTTGTATTGCTTCCCAAATAAAAATTAGTCATGCTGCATTACTAAACATGGAAGCAGGCTTGATGATTTAGCCTGAACTTTATATCAATAATGGAGTATCAGATGCATTTTAGATAGCACATTTGTTATTAGTCAGCCAACTGATAACGGTAGAATCATGATAGGTCCAACAGAGATGAAGAGAGAGTGAGAATAATAATTTCTCTCAGAAAGTCAGATAGCTACTCCTTCTACCCACCTTCCAAAGATACAGATGAAACAGAGAGAATAACAAATTAGATTAGGAACACTTTGGATTTCAAAGGCAACATAAAGAAATTAAAGTGGTTTCTTCAAATTGAAAATAAGGAAAGGTCTAATGAATGTCCAGCTTTTCAAGAAAAGATTTAAGGATCTACACAAGAAAACATTATAAATGGGCACGACAACCAAGTAGCACAATATGGAACACTCCTTATTCAGTGTTCCAGCCATCTATGTCACCCACACGATATCTCATTCCATCCTTGGTCAGCATCATGTGGCCACAAAATTTGCTCTGTTTCAACTGGGCTGCTCTGGAAATCCCTGTTTGTTAATGTTATGAGCCTTCAAATCAGAACCAACTTATAGTGACCCTTAAAGGACTTTCAAAGTAAGTGAAATATTTAAGAAGCAGTTTTACCAGTTCCACATCCCCAGTGAATTTCCACAACCAAGTGGAGATTTGAACTCTGGTTCAATTCAAGACGTGGCTATTCAGACAGGTCTTCCCTCCAGTCACCACCTGTTTTATCCCTTTTTTTCCATCTTGAATGATTTTCTTACTGTTGTTAAATTGATATTATTTGATTGTTTTTATTCCATTTTATTGTGAGCCACCCAGAGTAGATGCTGTCTAAATGCTCGGGATACAAATTTAATAAATAAATAAATAAAATAAAATTTGAGTTCTGGTCAGATACTCTATCCACTAAACCACACTGGGTATCATAGTTCCTGCTTAAATTTGTTCAAAAGATTTTTTGGTACCTCTGGAAATCGTGAGGAAGTACACAATATCCCTGAGGGATGTAAGAAAACTGATACATGGCACTGCATTGCTGGTACCATTCTGACTACAAAAGTGACAGTACTTAAAAATATTAAACAAAATTAAAATATAGGATGATATGATACTGTATATTGAGCACAGGTTACAGAAAAGGAGATTTTTCTTATAAATGAAGAATTGTATGTAAAGGACACAGGTTTTGAAGCTATGAAGTTACTGGGTTATTTTCAGGGAACTGTAGATTGTATACATGCATTAGAACCACAGCAATCGAGTGGAGTGCTGAAGATGAGGACACAGGAGACCTGGGTTGAAATCCGATTTGGTCATGGATACTCAGGAGAGGTAATCATTCCTTAAATGTCTCACTTATCGTAGAAATCCTACTAGGGTTGCCATAAGTCATAACTGACTTGACAGTGCGTAGCACACATACATGCACATATAGGTTGCGTTCTGCAATTTGCCTGCATTACATAGAGATCTCAGGTAGTGACTGAATACGGATCTGAGCCTTAGTTTGACATACAGTACTTGATATACAGTGTGGGGTAGTGGATAGTTATGGGATGGGTTCGAATCCCATTTGGCCATGGGGGAGACAGGACTAGTACAAACACTCTTTAATATCTCACTTATTTTGAAACCACGTTATGCTCACTAAAAGTCAATTCTGACTTGACAGCATGTAATACCAACTGATATACAAAATGTAATATTCCCAATTCTGCTCTGCTGCAGCAGCAGGAAGACTGAAATGATAAATAGGGGTGTGTGTGTGTGTGTGTGTGTGTGTGTGTGTGTGTGTGTGTGTGTGCGTGTGTAAACCTACAACTAAAAACATAGTGTTTACAGAATAATTTGATGAAAGAGGCTTCTTCCAGAGAGCCTCTCCTCAGCCTGCTATTTAAGTGTCCAAAACCTTCGAAGTGGAAGTTGGCAGCCACATTGTCAGACAGTTCTATGTTAACACTTCGTGAGAAAGAAAACAAAACTGAGTTCCTCTTTGTTTGGCTACAACTTTGGGTTAATTTTAGAAGGCACTCAGTAATTACTCAACTAATATTTGGCCGAGACACTGGAATCATTCATGAAACCCCTGGAGAATTTTGTGAAGGATACCATAATGACCAGCAGGATTACCTCCCCCTGAAGGAATGAGGGGACATCCTGCTCCATTTCCTCAGACACAGACTGAAAAGATGGAACTTTGATTAGCAGGGAAGCAAAGCTTGCCATCATTTGTGCGTAATTTCTCTTGTCAGAAGGGACGTAATACCTAAGAAACAATATAAAGATTTTAAAAGACTTTGTGCCATATAAACATTAACAGAATGTTTAGAACATAAATTATAATTAAGAGTAGGTCACGAAGAGTCGGACACGACTAAACGACAACAGGAATCAAGCACAATTTAGATTTAACCCCTTACCAGAGCTATTATTACTAGACTCATCACATTTTTCCAATGCTCCTTACCATATACTGTACCTATATGCACACACATTGCTCCCGATGATCTCACTAAGCTGTTATAGCACAGTATGACCTTGTGGTATAACAGGCATGTTTTACTGCATGATTTCAACAACATGTCTGTTTCTCCCCCATTCATCTCTACATCTATCATTTTGTAATATATTGCCTAATAAAGAGATCTGTAGACCAGAAACACTTGTCTACACTTTTATGCACATCGGACTGGGCCTAAGAAATGTTTTGTCTGGCCATGAATCTGGCGATTTTTTTTCCCCCTACAGGCCAACACAGCTTATTATGCTTGATCACTAACTATAGTGATGCAAAGAGCTATTCCATAGGATAGAACAGCCTTCCAGAAATCAGAAGCATCCTGTTTGTGGCTCATTATTATAAGTAGGTAACCCCTGGACTTGTCACCCGCATTCTTGTTCAAGTGTCCATTATTATTTTGATTTAAAACACCCAAGGGTCAGAAAGGTTCACACTAAGTCAGAGCTGAAATAATAAATGGCTTATTTTCCATCCTGGTAGAGGAAATACATCACGGCCCATTGTGGTGCATTCACAGATGCTGTTTTTACAGGAAAGTGTAAAAATAACTAAATCAGTTTGCTTGGCTACTCATATTCAAACAAAGCCCCTTACTACAATTAATACAGTAAAGAAAAGGCATGTTTTCAAGACATTCAATGTACTTAAAAGGAAACAGCATCTTAAAAAGGGAAATAGACACACTAATTATTTTAGAAGAAAGTTTGGCAGAAAAATAATAATGATTTGCCAAAACAGAACAAACCAGCTACTAAGCACAGGCCCTTTAAGTCCAGGAGAAAGTTCAGAAGCAGGTTACTTTAAAATTGTAGTCTTTGAACACAGCCGAGGCACTGCTTTTCCACAAATCAGCAAGAAGTATAATTTAGGGTGTAACTTTGTGTCTGCTCCCATAGCAGTAAGCCACATTAAATTTAGCAGAACTTACTTCTGAGTAGATACATAAAGGAAAATATGCACAGGAAAATAATGGTTACACACTGCACTTAATATTATGTTGTATCAACTTGCAATGGCATTCCCTCATGGCCAAGATCCTTCTGGAATGTTTTAAAGCAAGAAAAGTACCCCAGCAATGTTAATTAAGAGCATTTTCTTTACAGGATCCGTCAGTTTTACTTCTTCCTCTTCAGAGTGCTCATTAGCAGTCCTTTAATTAGTCAGTTTTCTTTCCTGTGGCAGAAATTCTT